ACTTAATCTGGTGCAAACCCCTGCACGGACACACTTCTATTTTGGTTTCAAAGTGGCTAAATTCAATTCAGCTTAAAACGATTCAAGCTGATTCAAAATAAGCCTGGTTTATACCAAACCATGAGTGTCCACACAACCTTTTGCACTGGTTTACTGAATCAGTTTAAAATCACACTTTAAGACTAACCTGGTGCAATGCTGCAGGCAGGCAAAGATCATGGCTTGGGTACAGTTAGTGTACAGCAAGCCGGGTGTGGATCTACAGCTCTCTAGCTTGCCATGCACTAAATTGCTGTGTGGACCCTGCTACGGTCCACAAAAAGGTCTGTAGTGCACTTTGACCAACTGCTGTTTATATGTTGATATGTTGCTCAAGGGTGTGAAAAATCCACACCCCTGCGAGATGTAGTTAAGCCAACCTAACCCCGGTGTAGACAGCGCTAGGTCAACAGAAGAATTCTTCCATTGGCCTAGCTGCCCACTCTCGGGGAGGTGAGATTACCGACACCGATGGGGATGGGAGAACCCCTCCTGTCTTCTTCATAGGTAGTGAAGTGCTACAGTAGGGAACATGCCGATGTTGCATATTGAATGTAGACAAGTGGCTATGTTGCCATGTAGACAAGCACTTAGTACAGTCTTGTCACCTATAATCTTTTCCTTTGTCTATTCCAAGCTAAGTGGTTTAAAGAGATACTATTGTCTGTCCTTGGCAGTTTGTAATTGTTTGATCTCTCTCCTGTTGGTAATACCCTTCTAGATCCTTGAAGTTAATAAAGTTTAGCTCTTCATGGTTGCTGAGCAACTCTACAGCTCCAAAGGTCATTTCTGAGGGTTCTGGAGAAATTTGAAAAAAGCCCCTAGTAGAGCTGGTCAGAAATGATGGAAAAAAAGATTAATCAGTATTTCAAAAATAGACTTTTTTTTTTTTAATTTAACAGTTCTTGCCCTTGACACAGGCTTTCTAGACACTCCCCTTTTAATGATACAGACTCCTCCACGTGTACTATACAAACAGGGCTGTCTTTAGGGACCCATATTCCTAGATTTTAAAGCACCAAGATTAAACAAATGGCAAATAATATTTCAATTTATCTTAAATGTCTATTTTCTCATTCAGTTTCATCTGAAAAATAGAATAGTCCCATAGTTACAATGAAACGATTAAAGGACTAGGCCAGGGGACCCCTTAGTTGCAAAATCATAGAGCTAGGAAAGTTCTGTTAGAGCAGTGATCTGCTTTCGGAGGAATAACTTGCAGTTCTCTTTGCACCAATGTCATTTTAGATTTGATGAAACGAAGGTGTGAAATCTTTAAAAATGTGCGGTCCCCCTTTCCAACTGAGCATCAGGGACACCATGCACTGCACGAGAATAACCCAAATCCAAACGGACTCTAGAAAATCTTTTTTATTGTTGGTTTATTTATTTGTCAACCTCTATACCCTAAACAACTGTATCCAGGAAGTCATCTACATGATACTATAAGAGAGAAACCTGATTCACAGCTCTCATAGTTGAGGAAGAAGGGGATGAGTCATCCTAGGGCTTGTCTAAATGAAGGATTTGTGCACTGGTGTAGCTACAGTGTAGCAGCCCAGTGGAAGGTCCTAGTTCAGAGAGGTGTTAAAATCAGGCTTCCGCTGGTGTAGCTGACCCAGGTGTTACAAAGGAGGTAAGCCGCACAGAAGCAAGTCACTACTTAGACCGCAGCAACATGTCTGCACTAGGGGGTTGTGCTGGTCCAGCTACATTCCCCCAGCGTAGGCCAGACCTGAGACTTGACATCCACTGAACTGAAAACTGACAATACTTTTCCTCTGGGAGAGCCACAGCCTAAGTTTCAGCTTCCTTTCACGTCAAGGGTTCCCAGGCCCTTAAAGTGGGATGAAAATCTTTGAGGAAAGAAAGCAGCCAGGCCCAGATAGTCCTTTAAAAATAATAATTAATTAATTAATACTAATTAACAAAAGGCAGATCCCCCCCCCCCCACTCACAAATGGAGAAAAACTTGTGCAAGAACTTTAAGGGCATCATTACACATCGTGACTATAAATGGAAAATACAGTGACAAATAGCATTGTAGTTACACGTCATGGGACTGCCTTAGGGCTAGAATGTGCACCAAGGCTGCAGCATACTGTAAGGTTGCTGCACCCCTCCAGGGAGCCGTGATCCTTTCCTTTCTCCCCTCTTGGTCCAGCAGGATAGTAATTTCCTGCTTGCCTAGGCTGATAGCTAACTACTGCCCTTTCCTGCCCAACCCCCTGCTGCTCCTGGCTCAGCTTTCCTGGCTAGAGCATGGGGGGGGGGGGGGGGGCAGAAAACTCTTCCCATATCACTCCTTTCCCTCTGTGCTCTGAGTGCAGAGTAAGAAGGCATACAGAACCACTTGGACCTGAGTGGCCTGTACAGGGGAAGCAAGATGTGAGCTGACTCCCCCTGGAGCATGCAGTCTGGTCTATGATCTAGCCTTTTGTAAGAGATTGTGTGTGCATTACAATGTGTGGTGTGCATCTCCTTGCACAGTAGTATGTAGATAACTTTCTGGATAAAGATATAAAATATTTAGTTAAAGGAGTGTGCATATGTACAGATATACACACAACATTTGTGTTATTAAGCATTATGTTACCAAGACATGGTTAATTATCACCCTGACCAATTTGCTTATTTGTTGTGCCCTTTTCCCTTATCCTCTGTTGGTGTGTGATTTTGACTTTCATCCTGGAAACACACAACTGTGTAACTTTATGTACTGCTGTAGTGCAATCGATTTCAGTGTGACTACTTGCATGTGTAATGTGAATGTGTTCAGGATCTGGCCCTTACACTGTAAGCTCTTTAGGGGCTCAGTTTTGCAAAATGCTGCGTACTTTGGTCCTGGTCCAGCAAACTTCAAGCATCTGGGTAGGCCCATTGAAGTAACTGGTACTGCTCATGTGCTTAAACTGGTGCTTAAGTGCTTTGCTTGATTGGGGGCAGACTGTGGAGTACTTCGTAGGACTGAGCCTAGGGTAATAACAGTGCCTCTTCTCTGAGTTTGGAAATCTCGGGCAGGAGCAGCAAGCCACAAATGCAGTGTTATTATTTAGTAACACTGCTTAAAAGTGGAAAAAAATCTTGATGAGGCCATCTTTACACATCATAAAGGAGCAGCAAATTGCACAATTTTTCCTTGTTGTACAGTTCACCTTTGAGACTGCAAAGATGTCATTAGCTGCCATTCACAAGCTGCTCCAGCTCTGATGTGCTTTCTAATATTTTATGAAATCAGTGCCCCCCTCGTTATCCAGGCACTGATGTTGACCTCACTGTGCAAAGGCTCTGCAGTGGTATGTCCATCGACTTTCAAATCCTTTTCTCATCTCCACATTTGTGATCTTAAAAAAAACAGATGAGTGATATTGTGAATGTCCCAGCTGAAGCAAGACAAATTTAGACTGCAAATAAGGTGTAAATTTTTAACAATGAGGCTAATTAACCATTGGAACAATATACACAGGGTCATGGTGGATTCTCCATCACTGACAAATTTGAAATCATGATTGGATGTTTATCTAAAAGATATGCTCCAGGAATTATGTAGGGGCAGTTCTATGGTCTGTGTTATACAAGAAGAGATCAGACTAGATGATCACAATGGTCCCTGCTGGCTAGGGACGCTATGAATCTATGAACACCGCAAAGCCATTCACCCTATAAAGGGGAGTGCCAAATAAAGAGGATTTCTTTTCCAGCTGAGAGTAATGACAGTTCTCTTTCACATCTCCACCCTTTTCCTTACCCACTTTAATTATACGGAAACCTGTACAAGAGACCATCCCTGTTAGGTAATCTCCTGTTTTAAGAGACTGTGCCACAGTGTATCTGGGTATGGTCCATCTGATGAAGTGAGCTGTAGCTCACGAAAGCTCATGCTCAAATAAATTGGTTAGTCTCTAAGGTGCCACAAGTCCTCCTTTTCTTTTAGTGTATCCAATGTAATGAGTAATTCTAAAAGTGGTATGACAGGACCACTTCCAAATAAATGCTACTTACAGGTCATGGGGTCAGGAATGATCTGTGTTTGCATAGCAGAGGCCTGGTCCAGGACTGGGATTCCTAAGTACTACTGCCAAATAAATAATTGGGGTGAGAGCCTTCCCTAATGGTTTAAGCTGGGATTCACTTTGATTATGAAGGATTGTTTATAAAGCACAGTGTGAGTGCTGGGTCTGTCCATACCCAAACAGAGAGACAGTCCCTGCCCCAAGGCTCTTACAGTGTCAGTTAGTCTGGCAAATGATAATTGGTCCTTTCCCAGGCACATATGTTTGTCTGGCAACACTCAGGAGGGAGGGACACAGATTCCAGGTGCAGAAGACACTGTTTAAAATTCCTGTAAATCCTTTACAGGCCTGAGAAATGCTGTGTGAAAATGTGAACCAGAAACAGAACTCATCGCAGCCGCCCAAGAGGGGGCTGTGCAGCCTGGCTGGGGTTTAATCCCCCTACTCCCGGCGATCAGCTCTGCAAGGGGGGCAGCTCCCAATGCAGAGCTCTGTGTCGGAGGCCAGGGGGCATGTGGGGGGGCATTGGCCCTTGTGACCCTAGTCACCAGGTAACCCCACAGGTGCTGGAACTGGGGGTGCAGGGCACCCCCCCCCCCGGCTGGACGTGGTTCCCAGAGAGCCCAGCCAGGGTCACAGTTTGTTTCAATGGCTGGCAGCGACCCCCCCCCCTTTGCACACATGGTTCCCGGGGTGCCCCCCCCTGCACCCATGGCTCCCGCGCCGCCCCTTCGCCTTCCCCCGCGCGGCGGCTGCAGCAGGCCGGGCGGACGCGCGCGCCCCGCCACACGCCCGGGGCTCGCTCTGCCCGCGGCGGCGGGGGGGGGGGGCTGCAGCGGGCCCCGGGCGCGCGGCCTGCGCGGGGACTGGGGCGGGGGCGGCTCCCCCCCGGCGCGGCCCCTCCCCCGGCGCGCATGGGCCCGCCCAGCCGGGTGGCCATGTTGCGGCGGCAGCCCAGCGGGGGCAGAGCGCGAGCGGGATCCGGAGCGGCGGCTGGAGCGCGGGGAGCCGGGCAGGCTGGAGCCGGAGCCCCGGCGGCGCAGCGCGGGGATGGCCGTGGCGGTGGGGAGGCCCGCGGTGAGTGAGATCCGGATCGGGCCCTTGCGCTTCGCCTGGAGCCCTCCTTTGCCCGGGTCGGGTCTGTGTCTGTACAGCCCCGAGCACGGCGGGGTCCTGGTCTGCCCCGGAGGGCTTCCAGCCCCGGGAGAGCATTCACCCCAGCAGGGCGATGGTTCCCCAGCCCAGGGCACAGACCTGGCGCCTGCCTTGGGCTTCCAGCGGGGCGGGCGGCGCCTCCTGGGTGGGAGATGCTTGGGGAGGTTTTCAAGCCGCCTGTGTCCGAGCAGCAGTGGCGGTGAATTGAGCCCCGCAGGGAGACGCCTTCAAGGCTTCCTCCCTTGCGACAGTTGGGCGAATAGTTTATTCTCTGGACAAAGCGTGTGGTGATGCGTGACCCGAGAAAGGGTGGCGTTGAACTGGAAAACAGAGGTGTTGGGGGAGAGCCGTGTAATGAATCTGGGTTAGCACGGCCGTGACCTGCCCTCTTTGCTTCCTCCCCAGCTATTCCCGAAAGAATAAAATAAATTAATAAATGGTGATGGTGACTCCATGTGGTCATTTGGCAGCTACAGCTTCTCCCCAGCAATTTCCCACAGTCAGAAAACCTACAGCTGCTGGATTTAAGTGCAACTGTAGACTGCGTCTAGGATTAACTAAGGAGGGAAAAACGCCCAGGATTTCAGATTTTTTTTTTAGGGGGTTTTGTTTGTTTTGATACTTTGCTGATGGATTATCACTGAGTTTAGAAACCATAAATGAAAATGATTTCTTAGGATGAGCTTATAGCTTTTGCAGGTTTTGATGTATACCAGTTTGTTTTGATCTCTGGTTCCCACCGAGTTTTTCATACATGTTGGGAAGTACAAAAGCATTAAAAGTGATCTTACAAAAAAAGCTTTTATTGTGTCGAACTCACAGAAATGGGGGAGAAATGAAATGTTGACCAGATGAATGCGCTTTCATACACTGTCGAGAGGGGGAAGGGAAAGAAACTTGATTGACTTTTTCCTGTGCCTACCAGTAAAACAGATGTTGCACATGGAGCTGAAGATTTTAAATGTGGTAACTTTCATAATGTGAAAATGGTGTCTGTGTTCAAGATGTGACCTGGATCACACAGTTTCTGTTAGCATTCATTACGTAATTATGGATCTAACAGGCTAATAAACTGCATATTCTGTGCATCAGAGTCAATGTATATGGTCCCTTAGCAGTGTTGCTGTAGAAGGGGAAGTTACACTGCTAAAGAAAACAAAACAAGAGTTGAAGTTTAATAACAGAACAACTATAATTTATGCTAGCTACTGGAGAGCCATAGCTGGCTGTGAAATGGGTCTCTAAGATCCCAGTTCAGCAAGGCGTTAAGCAGGTACTTACATTTAAGCTTGTACTTCAGCACAGGCTTAAATCCCACTGAAATCAGTGGGACGTAAGCGCAGGCCTAAATGTGTTGCTAAATGGGAGCCTACAGATCAGAGTCTTCCAGGGCCATCTCATTAAGTAGGCTCAGAGCTTGTCTACACACAGACTTGCACCAGTTCAATGTAAGGTGATATATAGAACTGATGTAGTTAAACTGATGCAAAAAGCTGTGGGGGGCATTCCTGTGTTGGTTTAATTTAAGTCCATGAGGAACAGGTGTCAGCTAAACCAAAATAAGCATTTCTTAAACCAGAATAATAGTGCCCCAGTGAAAATTTGCACCAGTTAAACTGGCTTCAAGTCTGTGTGTGTCGTGGAGCCCTCGTTGATTTCAATGGGACTGCTTGCAGAATAAATTCCTACTCAAGGGGAGAAGAGTGGGGAAAATCTTTGGTTTAGAGTTAAGGTTGCCTAAGTGCAAAGCCTAAGGCAGTGTCCAGTTAGGTAACCTGCTATATAGCACACAGTATGTTAACCAGCTGTACTGCTAGACTCTGCTACTCCTCTAGAATCTCAGTTTCTGGGCTCTGCTGCTGAACGAGAACAGAGTTCTGCTCTCCTGAGAGCATCTCTAGAGAGTTGAAGTCTCATAGCCATGGTGGACCATTCTGTATGTGCAACTCCTTTAATCTAATCTTCTCTTCCCTACGTTTACTCCTGTGTGGGTATTGGGTTGGTGGGAGGGAGAGCTGGAGAAATGGTTAATTGTTAACACATGGAGAGGGTGAAGTTCCTCTTGTTAAATGTTTGCCTTTCAAACTCTGAATTTGGCTAATTTGTGTGTGTGTGTGTGTGTGTGTTTTAAGTATTTGGGGGGGGGGGGGGAATGAAAGCAGAAGGAATGAAATTAAGAACAACTTAATCTGATTTAATGAGCCAAGATAGCATTCTTGAGGCGTAACATTTACTGCTGAGATGGCCTATGCAGGATATGATCTTTGTTACTTGTAAAACCTGCATTAAAAAAAATAACTAGAACAAATATCTAACCAACCACTCCAAAGGAACTATATTTAATGATAGTCTAGTAGGCTGGCTACGAGTACTGAAAAGATGAAAGATTTTAAGGCCCTGATCCAGCAAATGATGATAATTCAATTTATGCACTGCATTGCCTTTGGTGGTACTAATTACAATGTGTAAAGTTAAACATGGGCATATGTTTTTGCAAGATTAGGGTCAGGGACTCCTGTGGGACTTTGCATCTGCTTAATATTATGCATGTGCTTAAGTGTTTTCAGGATCGTGACTTGACTTTTGTAGGAAGACCAATAGCTTAAATCCAAGAATACTGCGCAGGATGAAGCGCTGGAGTGCAAGTTTTACACGTGGGCTTTGGAAGATGATGATATAATCTGAACAGTTTTAAAAATGGTATTATCTTTATCCTTGACAATATATTAAATATACAGGAAAAGGGCTACCAATCACACCCATTGGAGAAAAATGAGAGAGAAAACAAAAGCACGGCTAATGGACTACTCGAATTTGTGACCTCTTTTAGGATCTTTGAGTATTTGTTGTTGCTGGCAGAATGTCAGACTTTGTTTAAAAAAAATAAAAAGCCATTGAGTGGACCCCAGGTGCTGAGTGCCCCTGGCACCCACTGACATCAGTCAGAATTGTGGGTGCTCACCATCTTTGGAAAGCTAGGCCTCCTTGTGAATTAGCGGAAGGGTGCTCGTACCTGTGTGGCATCTTAGTTGTTTGGACAACTGGAAGAGTAGTTTATGGAAGGTGTTATGGAGTTGCGGATGGCTCGGAGACCTGGGAGTAGGGAGATGGGTTCAGAAGCAAATGTGGTTCACTCCTGCACCTTTGTATGGGGTGGGGTGTTCTGCTTCTGTCGTAGGTCCTTGTATGGCCCCATTACTGTGATAGCTGAGCACCTCGCAATCTTAGCACCCCTGTAAGGTAGGGAAGTGTTGTTATCCCCATTTTACAGAGGGGAGCTGAGGCCAAAAGAGATTAAGTGCCCAATATCACACAACAGGTCTGGCAGAGCAGGGAATTGAACCCAGGTCTCCTGAGCCCCAGGGAGTAGCACCTAACCACTAAATCAGTCTTCTCCCTGCTTGCAATCTTCTTTTTTTTAATTCTTAGGGAAATTCATTCAAACCTTTCTCCTTGTTGCTCCCACTCTTCCAGCTGGGCCCTGGTGTGAACAGTGTGTCCTGTGTCCCGTCCCCCCGTCCCCCCCCACATTGTTGCCATTGCTATCTCAGGTTGAACTGCGAGTGATGTCGGCACCCAGCAGGCCATCTTCCCTAGGGCTAGTTGCTCGGTGAAGCAACTGTGGGAAACTCTTGGAAGATGTCCCTTGCCACAGAGCAGTTGGCTTTAAAGTCAAAGGAGGACCATTGAAATGCCAAGGCTCATTAAGCAGCTTCAGTCTGAGAAACAAATGTTTGCTTAGACAGGAGGCATTTTGAAATGTCCCCTCCCCCGCCCCCAGATTCTGCTTTTCTGGCTCATTGTCCACACTGGAAGCAATCTGGGTTTTTGTTGCTGCTTCGTCCTTGGAATCTTTGCTTCTCTAACAATTGCAAATGCAGGATGGGCACAAGGGTTTTATCTGTTTTGTTTTGTTTTGTTTTTTTAATTAGTGGCAGAAATCCTGTCGTGGGGGGGAGGGGCGGAGAGAGCAGGGGGAGGTGCTGGGAAGAGACAGGCTTACTCTTTCGTCTGACCCTCAGCAGACTTGTCTGCCTTTGCAACATCCATTGTCTTCTCTGGTTGGATCTGCTCTAGGTTCTGAACCATGGTAGCACAATGGTTCTTCCTGGAAAGGCGCTAAAACAATTTCAGGTCCCAGCATAGATGGGTCCCTCTCCTGGAAGTGCATAATGATGATCCAATCGAAATTCGCCTGTGCTAGTAGCATTCACAATTAATAGCAATGAAGCACCCTCTTGACTGGATGGGAAACGCACACAGACAAGCATGTTGCAGGGAGCCTTGTTCTCACAATAAATGAAGTGATAGCAAAAAGATTCCCAGATCACTAGTTACAACAGTGTTCTATAGACTGTGCAATCACATGGCTGATGGCCCAATGTGCACTGGGATTTGAAACAGACAGGGTATGCCTTCCTCAGAGGGGAGAGCTCAATGACTCTTCAGAGCACTCTTCCAAGGAGATTAGAAGGTTGCTGGGATATTGGCTTCCCTCCATTGCTTGCACCTTATTCCCCGCTCCTGGAGGGTGAAGGCCTATAGGCTAGCAGAAACCCAAATGGTGCATAGGAAAGCATGATGTGGAGAGTGACTGCTGCCCCTGCTCTGCCATCTGCCCTAGTCATCCTATGCCCATCGTCCGGGCCCTGAGCATGTGGTTCTTGTGCAAAGGGGGCCTGTTGGCTCAGGGGAGACCATGCCACTGAGATGCTGTTTCTTCTCTGCTCCATTGAGTGTCTGGAGGCTCTTCTAAGCCATGTTGCACTCCTCGACACGCCAGAGCACCGGGCAGCGTGTGGCCCAGGATTAGCATCATTCTAGAGTGAGTTTTACTCACAGTTCGGGTTAACATCATTTGGACTCTAGGATAGACAACGTCTGACTGACCACTGCGGTGTGCTGTGTTTAAAATATATATA